ATCCAGTGCATGAAAAGGAACTCCTTGCCATGAAGTATGCACTCGCGAAGTTCAGAGTCTATCTATTAGGAGATAGACCCTTCATTGTTTACACTGACCATGCGTCATTACGCACGGCAGTGAACAGCCCGCACCTTTCACAACGAATGGCGCGGTGGTTGTCATTCTTTGCGGAATACAACTTTACGGTCGAGTACAAACCAGGACGACTTAATGTCGTCGCTAATGCACTCTCACGTCGTCCCGACTTTGAACCAGTCGTGAAAACCAACAGTGAGACAGTCACTGTTGCGGTTATGACGTCCTCAGTCCCATCTACAACGTTGTATGATGATGTGAGGCGGGCATACGCCCAAGATGGTGAGATAGTGAAGTTGTTGACACATCTCTCCCAACCATCCCGAGAATCGTTGAAACGATTGTCGTCTGCGTATCGATCTGCATCAGATCGATACACTACTCACAACGGGTTACTGTATTATACAGCCGTTTCTGGTGACACACCACGTGTTGTCATCCCAGATGATACTGATCTGCGTTTGCGGATCATGTTCGGGTATCACGATGCTCCTATAGGAGGACATCGTGGCCGGGAGAAAACATATCTAACGGTGAGTCGAGACTTTACTGGCCCCGCCAGTATCAGTTTGTGCGAAAGTATGTTCGCGCATGCGAAGTCTGTCAACGAGTGAAGTCAAGTCCTTCACTGCGTGCACGTTTACAGCCTCTACCGGTTCCGGCTGAGTGCTGGGAATCCATCTCAATGGATTTCGTCTTCGGGTTACCCAAAGACGCACGCGGGAATACGGGTATTCTCGTATTTGTTGACAGATTCAGCAAAATGGTACACCTTGTGGTTGTACCAGAGACAATCACGGCAAGTGGCTGTGCTCGTGTCTGTATTGACACCATCTTCCGACTTCATGGGTTGCCCCGTGAACTCGTATCAGACAGAGATCCACGCTTCACTGCTGATTTCTGGCGTTCCGTGTTCAAATCACTCGGAACGCGCTTGAAGATGTCTACATCTGATCATCCAGAGTCAGATGGTCAGACGGAACATGCCAATCGTGTCCTCGAAGTACCTCTTCGAGGACATGTACACTCCTCTAAGAGTTGGAGTGAGTTTTTGCCAATGGTAGAGTTTGCCATTAACAACTCGGTGCATGCGTCCACGACACATACACCGTTTTACGTGAATGGCTTGCGCCATCCGCGTGTACTCACCTTACTAGAGTGTAACTCTGGTTTAAGGGGGGGAGGGACTCGCGCGAGCAAAAACCGATTTGGTTCACGCTCATCACGCTCTGACGAAGAAGTCATTGCGTTTGATGCAGATATCGATAACATCGATATCGAAGAAGATGATGCCAGTGAGAGTGCGGAAGCCCTCACTGAAGAAAAGTTTGATGTTGCTGCAGTGCACTCACAGCGCACTGAAGCTAACGAGTCATCAGATGAGTTCATACTGGCTCGCGAAACGGTAGTCCGTTTTGTGCAAGACTCCATCGCCGAAGCGGTGGATAAGCAAAAGCAAAACGCTGATAAGAATGGAAAGGCAAACACTCTTTTATTTAATAAAGGTGACTTAGTCCTACTGTACACGGTTAATCTACCAAAGAATGTAGTGACTAACTTGGGTAGTAGTAAACTTCTACCCAAGTACATCGGCCCATTTCGTGTATTGCACCGCCTAGGCAATGCATACACGATCGAGTTACCACGTAAGATGCGAACGCATCCCACGTTTTACGTTGGTCGGCTTAAGCCGTACCATCAGTACGCTGCTTCTTCCGATGAAGAACGCCCTTGCGCTCAAGCATCTCGCAGAGAGCCTTGTGCTCCCGATAGTGGGCATCAACAAGGGTCTGAAGAGCAGCTATCTCATCCCGAGACCGATCAGCAATCCCACGAGCTACCCTTAGCTCGTCACGAAGAGATGTCAGAGATCTCTCGTTCTCAAGCTGAGCAAAGGCAAACTCAGCTCGATGCTTCAAGGCAGTGTCCGCCATTTGGAGACGCCTATTCCGCTCATGTTCGAGATCGTCGCGTAACCCTTGCGTTACGCGATCAAAGAAGCTCTCGGGAACACACCGATCCACATGATCGTGTGGAGAGCGTCTTTCCTCCTTCTCCACCTCCATTAGAGGACTCTCGCGGTGGCCAGCGCTATCTAGTTGAGCAGCTGTTGAACCACCGCGACGTGAACGGACGTCGGACGAGTTATCTCGTCCGGTGGCGCGGCTATCCCCCGTCCTGGGATTCTTGGGAGCCCCGCTCCCAGCTGATGATTGACGTACTGGGTCTGGTTGAGCAGTACGACGCGGCACATCCTGTGCCGCAGAAGGACCGCCGGAGAAAGTCTCCTCGGCACGGTCGTAAAGGGATTTCAGGCTGTCAATCCCTTCGTACATCTCAGTAGAGACACGTACGCGCCACCACGGGCTGGTAAGGAGGTAAGCCTTCTTAGGTGCTCGTGCAGAGTTGTTCACACAACACGGGCACGAGTCTCCCCAGGAATGACAGGGTAATCCTTTCTCCTTAGACAGACGATGCAGATTGTAGCGTGCACCTGTCGGGGTTCGCTTTTCAAACTTATCACGAGCTTTGATAAGTTTGTCGTTCCAAGCGTCACGACCTACATCCTCAAGGCTATGGATGTAGGCGTTCCACGCCTGATGCAGTGAGGGACCATCACGTTTGTGATTCCCACTGTACCATCGATGTCTAAAGAAAGCATCGATGAAGAATTCATGTTCAGCGCGATAGTTTTTCGCGCTGGGGTCAAGGTGATGGATCCTTGACGAATCGAACAATCGTGTTCGATATCGATCACTCGTCGTCGCCGACAAGTGATCCATGACGGATTTGGGAGGCATCCATACCTTCTTTTCAGGAGCGAGACGCAAGACATTGCGGTCCCGCTCTTCCTGCGACGTGCCGACAGAAGTACTGGCACCTCGCTGTGAAGTGGTGTCCATAGGAGAACCGACACCACTATTAGCGCCCGAGTCTCGCGACCTCGAGCGCCTTCGCTTCGGCGATGGTTCATCTGATTCATCAGATGAACCAAAGATGCTGCGACGCAAAGCATCGTCCATGCCACGCTTGGCAGGCGGCTTAGATTCAATCGTCGTCGATACGGAATCGTCTTCCGTATCAGGAGAGTACGAGACACCGAGCTCGTACTCTGTGAAGACATGAGTGTCTTCATGACCAGCGCCTGCATCACCAAGTGACACAGGCTGGGTCGCTTCATCAACCGATGAGACATCAGTTGCTGTTGTTTCTGCTTCGGCGTCCGCAAAGAGACGTGCGGACGCGCTCTCGGCGGCCTTGCTCGCGCATCGCATGGGCTTGTTAACCATGCGATGAAATGTTGGGAAGTGGACTCGGACCAACAAGTGCAAACCTTGTCCCAAATGATTTGGGACGAGTATCCATTTAGTCAATCAGTCACTAAAGTGACTGATGGTTAAGGGGAGGGCGTGATGTAACGGGGTGAATCGTTACATAACAATTATAAGAAATTGTTAATAGAATATAACTATAAGAGTTATATTCTCAGAATATTGTCATAAGGACAAATATTCTGTAGCACTTACGAGTAGTTCCTAATTGGTTGATATAGGCCATTATATCAACCAACGAAGACGCGCCACGACAGACGCACGCAATGAGCGGTGAGCAGATAACTGATATGTACATTTGTATTTAGACATAGTTAGATGAAGATAAATAGTGATTTATTGCAGACATTAACTATTATAAATACAGTTCTACTTTTTACTTTAACCAAGTACTCGCTTCTTCTTACCGTCTTCCTCTGCACGTACGAGTGTACGTGAAGTTACGAGGCACCGCCTTATTCTGTCATCAGAATAAGTAGCTTGTACTGTCACCAGTACAAGCTTCAGGGTGCCCCGTTACAGAGGCGGTGTCGCGTAACTTCACGTACACTGGTACGTGCAGAGGAAGACGGTAAGAAGAAGCGAGTACTTGGTTAAAGTAAAAAGTAGAACTGTATTTAGCATAGTTAATGTCCGTTCATAATCACTATTTACCCTCATCTAACTATGTCTGAATACAAATGTGCATATCAACTATCTGCTCACCACTCATTGCGTGCGTCTGTCGTGGCGTGTCTTCGTTGGTTGATATAATGGCCTATATCAACCAATTAGGAACTACTCGTAAGTGCTACAGAATATTTGTCCTTATGACAATATTCTGAGAATATAACTCTTATAGTTATATTCTATTAACAATTTCTTATAAATTGTTATGTAACGATTTACCCCGTTACACATGTACTCAGCAGTTTTTATACACGACAGAAGTGCAGGGTCTCAGGGCTCATGCAATATGGTGAAGGGAGCACTAACGTTACGAGGAAAGCCCGCTAACAGCCAGGGATACATCGTAGACTTAAGTTGGAATAGCATCTTTTTGTTCGTCTTCAACTTGTGCGGGACGATGAGCTACAATGGAACAAGCGGAACAAGCCGAACAAGAAAAAAGTCCAGCTGCTATAGTCGTCCGCGTGGCCACTCGCAACCCTACCGTGACCGCTCGTCTCAAGCATCTCGTTTGATAAAACCAATACAACAAACTGATGCAGATGTGTGCGTACCAATTGGTAGCAACAGCTGGAGACTCGTCGTTTCTACTCAGCAGAGTGAACGTCAAGACGTCACCGAGCCACAGCCCGTCCTGCTGCTATTCGTAGGGTTTCTGGCGGTAGGCTCTCCACTACTTACGTCACGAGACGCTGTTCGTGTCCCGTAAGCAGTTGTTTTCCCCCACTGGATCGCGTCCTGCTTTACCATTCGCGGATCTTCCACTCTATGTCATATGATTGGCTCCCTTGGCTTTCGCGGGAATCTGCAGTCATCTAAATCCAAAATTTAGCACCACTGGCAGAAAAGAACTCGACATCGACAGTTCCCACACGCTCTCTGCTTCTCCTCTCCTCACCCCTCACTCTCACTCTCGTCTCCATGGCCCCTGCTGACGACTCCAAGTCTGCGGCCGCAGAGCCTGCACCTGCAACGGCAGCCGGTTCTACCGGAGAAACTTCAGCTTCCTCCACTACTACCACGCGCTCGTCGCCTTCTCGAAAAGCCAAGACAACGGGATCCAAAAAGGACGAGGTTGTTGCCAAAGAAGAGGCCCCGAAGACCAAAAAGTCTTCAAAGAAGTCAGAGGCAGCGAGCAAGAGCTCGGGTGACGGCGGCCCATCGTACTTTGAGCTCATTGTCAACGCCATTAAGGAGCTCAAGGACCGTAATGGCTCGTCGCGTCAAGCGATCGGGAAGCTGGTCGAGACGAAAAAGGGAAACTACGCGAGCCACCATTTGAACAAGGCGCTACGGACTGCCGTAGATAGCGGCAAGTTGATTCAGACCAAGGGGTCGTACAAGTTGTCGCCTGAGCTGCGTAAACCTTCGGCCGCAATGAAAAAGAGTCATAAAGTCTCGGAGAAAGCTGCCAAGACGGTAGCGAAAGTGGGCAAGGGAGCGAAAAAGACGTCGGCAGCGGTCAAGAAAGCGACTGCCACGGCAGCTGCTGTAGCCAAGAAGAAGAAGAAGAACGTGGCTGCAAAAAAGGTGGCGGCCAAGAAGGCCCCGGCTAAAAAGGCGAGTGCGAAGAAAGTGCCCGTAAAGAAAGCTCCAGCCAGCAAGAAAGTTAGTGCCAAGACGGTCAAAAAGTCGGTCAAAAAGACGGCTAAGAAGTAGTTGCTTGCGTGATGCGTCTTGGTGCGCACAATCATGACAATGATTGGTCAGCGATTTTCATCAAGGGTGCGTGTGGTGACGTCGTTCGCCGCTCGCTTCGCCTTATAACTCCTCGGTGTTTCTTAACACCACCCAGTGTACATAGAAACTGCCGCTTTGTGCTCACGATTGCGTCGTCATTTCGAAGTGTGCCACTGTTTTGTTGTGGTCCTCCTGGCTGTTTCTAACATTTGCTTACTCAAGTGGAAGAGACAGGTTTTCCGGCACGTCCGTTCCAGTTGTTTTGTTTATTCGTTTTCGTGGGTGATCGGCTTCGTAGCTCCTTCCTGTTGATGGGATCGAATGCTTGCGACGTTGTCTGGAACGTTGTTGAGAGCCCTGAGGATGAAGCTGTTGATGACTGTGCGCAAGGTGAACACCAAACTTTCGATTCTGCTTTCAGTCTCTTTGTTGGTGTAAATAACGCTAGGTGTGCCTTACATGTCACTGTGAGCCAGAAGTGTAAACAAGCTATTAGTGAGTGTGCGCGAGGCGAATGCCGACTGTCGAATCTTCTTTCCGTCCGTCTGTGTGTCTGTCATTAGTGCTAGGTACACCTGAGACGTCATGCTAAGTGCGGTGTAGTCTGTCACCTTCTGTGTATGTGAATAAGGCCAGGTGTGCATGACACGCCGCACTGGGTGCAATGTAGTCTATTGTTCCGTGAGTAACGCAAGATGTGCCTTTCACGTCATACTAAGTGCGTATCTGCCTGTCCCCTCCTTGGATGTGTCTGTGTCAGAGTTTCAAATTGGGCGCCTACGCCGATAACCGCCCACGCCAATAACCACCCACGCCCATGGTTTTTTTAAGGTCACGGTTGCGACCGACAAAAGGTGGGTGGGCATGAGTGGGCGCGACGCCGCAAGCTTATATTTATTTTGCGATTCAATTGATTATACTTAATGAAAAAATTAAAAATGCTCCACTCAATCATGAGAAAAATAAAAGCCGCACGTCCTCGTTTACTTAAGTTAGCGTTGTACACATAAAAAGTATCCCGTTTATCATTTCTCGATTTCCTATAAAATGCCGTGCTTAACCTCCGCCCTGCTGGCAGAAGCCGGGTAGAGATTTCTGCTGCGGGCGTGCTGCGCTCGCAGCCATCAATTGCGGGCGCACACGGCACAGGGATGATGTGATTGCGTTTTCGTATCCTCGACGGCGACCATAAATGCTGACAATCATTGCAGACGTTATTTATGGTACTGTTTTTGCTATAATTTTTGTTTTTGTTATTATTGTTTTCTTATGTTACATTAGTTGTGATTGTTATTTTTGTTTTAGTTGCTGCTGTTTTTTTGCTAGTGTCATTGCTGGTGTCGTTGTTGCTGCTACCGCTGTGGATGTGACCGTTGTCATTATTGCTGTAAGTCATTGATGTTGTTCCTGATTCTTTTGTACTGCTGTTGCTCAAGTTGGTATTGTTGCTGCTGATGTTGTTTTTGTTGCTACTGCTGTAAGTGTTCTTAGTGTAACTACTGTTATTATTTATTTTGATTTTTGAAATAATAATTTATTTTTTAAAACTATTAAATAGTTTTAAGATTTTATTTTGATTAAATAAAAAATAAGTATACTAATTTTTGTGGTGTTGATGTTATGCTGCAGTGCTGCTGTTGTAGTTGTTTAGTTGAGTGATGAACACAAGTCCTGCTCGTACGCAATAGTTACATGTACCTTTTCAACCATTATTAGACCATCATGAATCTATTCTACATGTCCGACTCTTATTTGCTAATTTGAATAGTTTCTTACCTGTGTTGGAGGCGTCCTGTTAGTGCTGTTGCAGGGGTTAGTCGGTGCTGTTAAAGATTGGAAGCTCTACGGAAAACACGCTAGACGTAGAGAGTTCAAGAGGTAATGACAATACACACAAGACAATCAAATTGGTCGAAGTGTTAGCACAATCGAGCATGCATTTCATAGTTTAAAGAATACACTATGTATCAAAACGAACAATACGTTCTTGAGCAAAATTTTATCGGTTTGGATCCGCCAGTACTTGGCATGTGGTCCTCTAGCCGTAGTATCTGATGCCGCACCTAGCTTGCTCCCTTTTGTACATTGCAAATATGTATTGACGTAATGTAGCGTTGATTTGCGAGCGTAGCATAATTTAATTCCGTCATTGTGAGTTTCCGCGTAACCGTAATCAAAAAGCTTGTTCTGGAAAGTCAGACGTATCAACAAAATATTGTGTGTGAATAGTAATTGAAATAGATTAAGTCCCTTGTAAAAGCAAAATGTCTGTAGATATGCATCACGTCAACTAAAGTATACTAGGACATGAGGCATTAAGGAGGCATTTAGGACATGAGGCATTGTTTTTTTACCTTTTTTATTTTCCATTTGAGGCATTTTTGTCTAGTGATTATTATGGCAATTTTCTAGTTTTCCTAGCTATATTTATTACGGTGTTAGAGAAATATTTGACCAGTATAAATCTGGTAATAAACTGAGCAAACGAATATACGTGGGCTGTAACGGGGTGAATCGTTACATAACAATTTATAAGAAATTGCTAATAGAATATAACTATAAGAGTTATATTCTCAGAATATTGTCATAAGGACAAATATTCTGTAGCACTTACGAGTAGTTCCTAATTGGTTGATATAGGCCATTATATCAACCAACGAAGACGCGCCACGACAGACGCACGCAATGAGTGGTGAGCAGATAATCAATTTACACATTTGTATTTAGACATAGTTAGATGAAGATAAATAGTGATTTATTGCAGACATTAACTATTATAAATGCAGTTCTACTTTTTATTCTAACCAAGTACTCGCTTCTTCTTACCGTCTTCCTCTGCACGTACGAGTGTACGTTAAGTTACGAGGCACCGCCTTATTCTGTCATCAGAATAAGTAGCTTGTACTGTCACCAGTACAAGCTTCAGGGTGCCCCGTTACACCTGGTAGCACTTCGTAGTCCGTCCAAGGACCGCGTTCACATCTAACATGAATATGTTGGATGATGAAGATGACCAAAGCTTTCACGCTACGCGTGACGGCTACTCCCATTTGAGCGATGTCGAATGGGATGCGGTTGAACGGATGGGTTCAACCATGGGCATCCATGTTGTTAGCGTCATGCTAGAGGCTCTCAATAGAGATGCCCAACATGCTACTATCGCCAAGTTCATTCAAAATGAGCTTGACGCAGAACGTGAGAAAGTAGCCTTGCTTCACCAACAAGGTTCTCAACAAGCAGAGTTGTTGAGAGAACAGGGTGCTCAACAGTTTGAACTGTTGAGACAGCAGCAGGCTGCTGCTGGTGGGTCGATGCACTCGCGTCGACCCGAAACCTTGAAGATTGACATCTCCAAGTATAGGGGGGTCGAAGAAGACTCCCTCTTGAGATGGTTCGTCGAATTGGATGACGCCATAAGGGCGCGTCGCATCGACGACGGGGATATGCAAGTTGCATTTGCCCAGTCAAATATGGCAGGACGTGCCAAGACTTGGACTTTGGGACACAAGTTGCACGACCCATATGCGTTTGGGTCGTTGGAAGTCTTCAAGTCGCGGCTCAGACAAACGTTTGAACCGCCTAGAGCTGAGTTCGGGGCTCGAACCGAACTCTTGAAGCTCAAGCAGGGTAAGCGTGATGTGCACGCTTACGCTCAACATATACGACATCTCACGAGTTGTATAAGTTCCAATCCGGTGGATGAACACACGTTGGTTTCGGTGTTCATGCAGGGTCTTGCGGATGGTCCCGTCAAGACTCACCTGTTCCGGCTTGAACTAGATTCACTAGAACAAGCCATTTCCATTGCGGAGCAGGGAGACTTCAGTCTGAGACAGGCTCGCGCCAGCTCGACATCATATCGTCAACCGAGACGATATGACAACGGAGGTCCAGAGCCGATGGAACTCTGTTATGTAGAGAGCGAGAAGGCTCGCTCTACAGACTACAAGAAGTTGCAGAGATGCAACAGATGTCAAAAGACAGGACACTACGCTTACGAGTGTAGTGCCCCTCGTCCAGTGTCTCGCGACACTGGGCGTAGTGACCGTCCACCCATGAGAAAGGGGCAGGGACGCGGGTCCGCTGTTGGTGCAAAGACGCAACAACGGGATGGACCGTCAAAAAACGGACAGGATCAGTAGGTGCGGAGCACCCTACTGGTCCAGCAACGTCAAGAGAATTTGTAGGCCTCTTGATGAAGGTTGCTCCCAACACACAAACGTTGTGCGTTGCTGCTCTAGGTAATGAGGTCTCACTCATTACCTTGAAACTCGAAGTGACGAATAAGTTGTCCCTTCGAGCTCTAGTCGATTGTGGGGCATCCAACAATTTTGTGCGACGTCAATCGCTAGAGGATGGTCACTTTAAATTCAGTGAATGTGACACACCTCCTACGAGGATGATGGCACGTCTTGCGACAGGCGCATCCGTAATCGTCATGAAGCGTATAGTGAAGATTCACTATACGCTAGAAGATACCCAGTATGACGATGACTTTATCGTATTGGATTTGGATGAAAAATTTGACGTCATCCTTGGAATACCGTGGCTCAGAAGGTACGAACCACGGGTAAACTGGCAACATCGAACAGTAACGATGCCTGCCGCTTGTTCATCAGATGGCCATCTGATGAACGTTTTGGAGCGTCCACAAGCGTGTGGATGTACTACGAGTGAGTGCGATGGCCTCACTTGTGGTACGGTCGTTAGTACGACTGCACAAAACCTTAGTGTACCAAACGGTTACACTTCGGAGCAAAGTTCCGGCGGCTGTGAGGAAACACAGGCTGCGCCGAAGGTCCACCACTCGAATAAGTCGGGTGGACTGGGACAAAGATGTATCCCTAGCGGGGAACATCTAGAAGAGAAACAATCGATCGCTCAGGTTAAGCGAAACGATAATCCTAGATCGACTGGAGAGTCTTTCGTAGAGGATCTCGCTGTGGTTGCGCAACCCCAGCTAGAGGAAGTAAAGGGAA